TAGGGTCTAGGGGTTTAGGGTTTGGATGCAAAAGGGGTTTAGGGTTTGGGGTTTGGGGTTTAGGGTAGTAACAAGTGATAGCTGTGTAGTGATAGTATGGTAGCCCAACACCCGATTCGATCATGAAGGCCCATGTATTAGGATCCAGCATGACGCAGGATGCAATACAGCGAAGCTAGGCTGCGGTAATGTAGATGCCTGCATCATCAGCAACATCATGCCGAAGGAGCCCTTTGACCACTACACTTTATGGACCCCTGACCCCTACTAAGTTCATTAAAGCCCCCATTTTATGTTGCATGCCTCGCCCGAGCTTGACTGTCCGTGGCACCCTGTGTTCAAAACCCTAGAACTGCAACCCCAAAGCCGAAACACGAGACCTCGCTCGCGGGCGTCGACCAGGGAAACAACACCCCCCAACCCAAAAAAACCCAAAACCCATAACACAAATTCAAAGCCCCGACAGCCAATACTCTGAACCCAAATCTGCAATCCGGAACCCCAACACCCAAGCAGTGCGGGTTCGGCGCAGGTGATGCAAGCAGCTGGCACACTCTTCAGAAAGCCGGAGCACCCCGGACGCAAGTTTCGACGCCACGGGTTGAAGGGGTCGCAAGCTCCAGCCACACAGGGAACTCGAGACGAAGTAAGCTTAAACCGGAACAGCAAACTCCAAGCCCCTTTAACCCCACCCCGTTTTACTCCGAACTAGCCCCCCAAAAGCCCTCAACCCCAACAAGCCCTAAACCCTAAACCCTAAACAGCCCTCAACCCCAAAAGGCTGCGTCCCCTCCCTCGGGGCGCGTGGCACTTGCGCCTCCGCGGGACGGAACGGATGTCTTTGCCGTGCCCGAGCTTTATTATTTTGGGGGAGGATGTGTGGCAGCATGGGTTGTGAGATGGAAGCTCTTCAACCGGAGCGTGGGGTTTAGGGTTTTGGCGGAGATTGGGGCCTGTGTGTGGCCAGTCGTGCGGAGATATCTTCACACCGCATGTTATGAGGTTGGCCCAGAGTCCGCGGCATACGGGAGCTCTCAGGATGACAGCACTTGCTTTCCATATAATGGCGCACGTAAAATTATCAATGCATGAACAAGCTGGGGGCCTTGCTCTCCATAGTCCGGAAGCCGTGATCGGCAAATCACTCATCGCCGTCTGCCAAGTGTTTGATTCGGCGTCCCTGAATCTGCGCCCCAGTGGCCCTGACGGTGTTCTTTCATTGGACACAACACATACATTCATTCACGTGCACATGCATGCACTTATGGAAGGTTACCTACATTCTTTAACAGTTCTGCAGCATACCCTCGAGTAGATAATACCCATTGTAGGTACAGCAATACGTAAAAAGTCACCTGAACCCTCATCACCAAACCCACTGTGACCCAAACCCTGACTGCGAACAGTTGTCCGAGAGTGAGTGTCACAACCCTAAACCCTGAATTCCAAGAAGCCTTGCTAGGCAGCTGGGAAAAAGAACCCCCAAAAACCCTTTTCTTAGGCCACGCCTCCGAAACTGAGCTCTTCAGCACATTAGGATGCAGCTCCCGGATGGATATGAGCCCTACGCCGGCTGCGAGGCTCGGACCACCTTTGTCCAACCCCTACTTGGAGGGTCGGGAGACTTAGTAAGTAGGTAATAAGTAGACTTATAAGTACCCTAAAAGGGACCCTAATTGGGGTCATAGTACTTATAAGTCTATAAAATAACCTGAAACTTGCAAGGCCTGAGGCTTGAGCAAACCCAAGATCCCTAAATCCGCACCTCCGTACAGCCTCATTAAACCCCAAACCCGAAATCCATTATGCCTTAACCCTATCTAAGAATCTAAGCCTCCCAACCTTCAATTCCGAAATTTATGACTCTTAAAAAACCCAATCTAAGCCTCCCAAACCTTGAAAAGGTCTTAGCAACTTTTCGCTGGCAGGACTGGGTGCGTGGGCTGGTGGAGCATGAGACTCGGCCAGGTTGTTGAGAGGTTCAGGGTCTAGGATTTATCATATGGGTTTTTGTCAAAATTATGGTCCCTTTTTGGGTCCTTATCATGATGCGGCACCATTATTTAGGGTAATCCAAAAGGGACCACAATTTTGACAACTACCCATATACTCGAATATATCGCAATATTAAGCCGCAATCGTAGCCATTTTAGCTCCAGGGATTAGAATCAGGTAGGGTAGCAAGCGCTAAACTCAACATAGCACGTACCCTGTAGTTCTAGCGACACTGCAACCTCCAGGCAGGTCTATTCTATCAGCTGGGAGGCAGCAGTACACACGTGTACAAACATGCCTTGCGCGGCAAAGCATGGACACCCCCTTTCACTTCCTTCGTTTCAGGGCTGCGGGATAGTGGGCGATCCTCTTAGCCATGTGTTGCTAGAGACTGGAGTCCCGACGAAAGAACACTCTCCTGCCGTTTCTTACTGGTTGCACACTGTGGGTGGTATCTTTGGCGCTGGAGAGTGTTTTCTGCCTTGGTGCTCCCCCCCGATCCTCAGTTCTGTCGAAATCCTTGCGGTGCGACTTGGTAAGTTGGGCTTGTGGGGGAAAAAGGTCTACTAGAATCGGCTCGGTAATGGTAGAATTCTTGAGGAGTCTGTTCCGAGCTTGGTTGGCAGAGCGAGGCTCCCTGATCCAGAGGTCTGGTAGCAGGGCAAGGTACATATCAACCGTAAACCTTAAACCCTAAACCCTGAACCCTAAACCCTAAACCCTAAACCCTAAACCCTAAACCCTTAAACCCCTAACCCTGAACCCAAATAGCAGCCGTGTGGCCAGAAAAGCCGCCCATGTGCCCCAAGGACTTGCGCCGCAGCCACTGTCGAAGTGAGCAGTTCGCTCATGCACTGCGCGGGGTTGCGGGGAAAAAGATGGTGCAGACTCGGAGAGGAGACAACTGCATTCCTAACTATTTGCGTATAAAAGTATTTGCGAATTGAGTGTGAGCTTCAGCATTGCTTTTACTTTGCTGCCCGTCGTCACAAACATTGTCGAGATTGGTGTGGGCGTCATGATGATCAGGGTGGTGTTG